CAACAAAAAAAATATCAAAAAAATAAAAAAAAAAAAAAAAAAAAAAAAAAAAAAAAAAAAAAAAAAAAAATCGAAGGTAGAAGGGGGCGGGGCATGGGTGGAAACAAACTTGTACGAAACCAATCTTAGCACTTAGATTTCACTATCTTACTTAAGGAAGTTAACTTTTAGAAAGGATGCCACACGTTCTTAGTTTGTCAAGATTATATGTACATATTAAAATGTTTTAGGGGCTGCCTTAGGTAGGTCACTGGGTGGCTCAGTGGGTTGAGCCTCCAGCTCATTCTGCTCAGATAATGATCTCACAGTGTTCAGGTTTGAACCCTTCCTCAGGCTTGGCTTGCTGCTGTCAGCGCCGAGTGCTCTTGGGATCCTCTGCCCTTCTTCTCTTTGCTCCTCTCCCGCTTGCACTTGTGCTCGCTCTCTCTCTCAAAAATTTAAAAAAAAAATTTTTTTTTAAATGTTCTTTACAGTGGATGTATCTGAGCAGCAGTGATCTGATCTTCAATAGGACATTCTCCCTCTAGATCTCAATTTCATCATTACTGCCATGATGGTTTTGGATTACTTATAAGGTAAGCTACTTAGCCTATAAAAATTTTCAGTTTCCTCGTCTGTAAAGAGTTACAAATTACAGTACATATCTCATGGGGTTGTTAGGATTAAATGGAAAAAAATGTATGTGTGGAAGAGACTGGCATACTGTTCACCAAACCATTTCTTTTTCTTCCAGGGCAAACAGCTAAACCACATTTCCCATCCTCACTTGCAGTTATCTGTGGCCATTTGACTGAATTCTAGCCAATGAATGGAATGTGAGAAGAGAATCATGAGCCTATTTGTAGGCTCAGCTCACAAAAATCTCCCATTGTGATCTTCTTTATTCTTTTCCCTTCTGCAGGTTTCTCATGGAAGCCATGTGTTAAAGATACTGGAACCACAAAACAGTAGGAAACTTGGTCCCTGAATCACATCTTGGAGGAGAGCTTTGTGCCCGTTAGGAACTGTCCTTCTGGATTTTCTGAGTGAGAAATAAACTTCTATTTTGTTAAGCCATGGAGATGCTGGGGCTTATCCATTATGGCAGCTAGTATTAACTAAAATAGTATGTAGGGCACTTAACATAATACGTGCTTAATAAATGTTAGATGTTATCAATATCATGACTCTAAATCAAAACCAAAAGCCTAAATCTCTCAGCTTCAAACACAGCACTAATATGGAGATTCCTTCTGCAGTCTGTAAGATCTGGCTTTTATTTATTTATTTTTTTTAACTAGCGAAGATTTAGGAAATAAAGTTATATATGGAAGTAGTAAAAATCTAAGTTCTTCTTGTATGTAATATGCAGAAAGTCACTACTAATAGTTTGTATTTATATTTCCTACTTTAAAAAAACTTAGCAGAATATAAAGGAAAGAAAATCAAATTAAAATTCAAGTTGGTACCATCTTTGAAATAATATTTAAAGTTTTTCTTCCTTGTGATGACACTAATGTTGTGATTCAATCTCTCTCAGTATTTCACATAATGTTTACCCTTTTTTCTTAACAATGGCTTGACTCCAAAACTTTTTGATATTTTAGTGCTTTTATTTATTTATTTTTATTTTTAAGATTTTATTTTTAAGTCATCTCTACACCCAACATTGGGCTCAAACTCAATAACCCTGAGATCAAGTCACATGCTATACCAACTGAGCCAGCCAAGTGTCCCTTGAGTGCTTTAATTAATGCCTATTCTCAGTTTTCTCTAAGGAAATTCTACTTCTCTTAAAGCTGAGATCAAATTTCATGTATTGGGTCAAAGCCTTCCAGGACATCCTGGTTAGAAGGGATCCCACCTGGGCTGAACTGAAACATTTACACAATCCAAGGCTCTTACTAATTGCTGTTCTGTGCTAGAGCTTGTTTTCAGATGAATTTATATACCTTGTTTCCCCCTAATCAGATTGCAAGCTATTTGATGACAGGGACTCTACTTTTTTGATTTCACACTGCCCACAGAAAATAGTAGAGTCTGTGCAAACAGTTATTGATAACTGACTCATTGGTTTGAAAGCCCCAAGTTTATGAGATTTCTCCTAATATCTTAACATCTCTCTTTCATGGAGTTTTATAAGAATAAAGAACAACGGCTTTCATAAAATTTTCTTCATAGATAAATAATAATTTATAGTTGGGGAACAATTGAAGCAGAGGTGATACGTATTTTATGGTCAGTGGTTTGGATTAGTGGAAATTTACGAAGAACAAATTAATGCCTAATTTTCTATATTGAAATGAGGACAATTTTATATGTATTACCAATTAAGCTTATTTTGCTTTTTTTTGTCCTTCATCCTGACTATTCACTTTTTAAATTTCTGTTTTGTATATTTGTTTAAGATGTTTACCTTAAAAATATTAAAAGTTATAGGTTAAAAGCGTTTCACAACATCATAAGGACTGTAGAATGTTTTAACTCTGAATCTTGCCTTTCATTTTCAATTTGATTGCTAGTTTCATCCTGTTTTAACTTCTAAAAATTGGCAATTTTCTGTAGTCAGTGTTTACTTAGGTTTACCAATGTTCTATTAATATCTTTGCTCATCATTGATTCTCGCATTCTGATCTTTTCTTCTGGGTTTGTTTTTCCACCTTCTTCCAGGGTCTGTGAGTGGGAAATTCTCTTAGTCTTCGTTTGAAAATGCCTTTATCCTCACCTTTGAATGCTAGTTTAACTGGATGGAGAATTTCAGATTAATGGATATTTCCCCCCACTGTTTTGAGGATATTGTTCCATTATCCTCCAGCATCTACTGCTTGTAAGAAGAAGCCAGCTTTGTCCATATATCATTCTTTGTAGGTAGTGTGACTTTTGCACTCATTCTAAACATTCCTAGAAACCAGGTAAAAATTACAAATGAAAGTCCCCATACAACATGTCTTAAAATTTTTAAGTTCAAAAACAAGCTATCAACTTATTAAATGAAATATATTCTATCCTCTTATCTTGATAAAGATACCTTTTTAAGGACCTGGATGACCAAGCCTTGAATTTAGGACTCTTAGAATCCTTGAGATGGTAGGGAGAGATCACCATCTTGGTTCCTGCCTCACAGCTCACCCTCCATGTTTTCCAGTCTGGGCTTCATCCCACACTTCAAGGGGCTTCACACACATACTTGTGGACACTCCACTTCCAAGCCCTACAAACAGCCACTTCCCAGACACCCCGTGGCCCAAAGGGTGTGCAGTCTGTTCTTGGGGGTTGGATATAGGGAAGAAGCTCATGAAGGTCCTGAAAGTGGGTTGGATCTGTTTGGGCAGGGAATGCTAGGGTCCTTTGTCCCTGGAACGTTGTTTGGAGGAAAAGGGCAAACTTTGGGTTACGCTTCTTGACATTGCGATAGCCTCCTTAATGGCTTCCTCCCATCCAATCTGTTCTCTACACTGTATTAGAGAGAATTTTATTTTAATGTAAGCCACAGCATTATACTATCCCCTAAAAAATCCTTTAAAGACTTCCTATTGCATTTGAAATAAAATCCTTTAAAAGGCTGCAAAGCTCTAAGTGGTACTTCAGTGTGCCAAGCTCTTTGGGAAGAGCCTTCATCTAAGATGTTTCTCTTTCTGAAACACACTTTCCTACCTGCTCCTCGCATGGTTGACGTCAGTCTGTTGTATCGCTCCTGGCTTAACTGCCACCTCCTCTCCAAGTACAGCTTCCCTGTTATTTGCTTTCACTGCATTTTGTTTACTTCCTTCAGAGTACAAACAACAAATGTAGTCACCTATTTTTTCCCCATACTGTCATCTACACAAGAGAGACTGTCACATATGAGTCAATTCTGAGATGGAGATTAGCACATAGTAAGTTACTTGGGAGTACTCTACTCAACCCCTGTTGAACAAAAGAAAGTAGGATGGGGCAGCAATCAGGCAGTGGATGCTGGCTGCCCAAAAAGAGGCCTGACTTTGGGTAAAGTAAAATTCTCTTCAGCCAAAGTGCTTCCTTAAGAGGGCTGACAGCTTTGTTCTGGATTAGGCAGCATAGCACCCAAATAAATGGTCCATGGCTTGTGCAGATCTGTTTTCCTTACATGACTTCTGGAAGTAGCTTCTGCAGAATTCTGGCAGACTTGTTCTGTGGGGAAAACTTATAAAAAGAAGGTTGGTAAGGGGAACCACCCCCTGTTATTGCAGCTGGTATTAGCCTGCAACCAATACTCACCCTCTCTTCTGTGGTCCATTCTAGATGCTCTTCACTCTTGATGAACAGTGCTGAAGGCTTAGGTGACTTGCCTAGTGGAGTGACAGATTCTTAAAACTGATGAGTTCCAGTTCCTGTTTATCATGTCCTTCTCAGGCTGCACCTGCTACGTCTGTCCATTTGCCATCAAAATTGCACAAGTACTAAAAGATGTCCTGGTTGATTACCTGGTGAAAATGAAGATCTTTTTCTTGCCTGCTGGTCTTTGGCATGAAGGGCTCAAAGTACTGGGTGGTGATATAGTTTAAAGTTCATTGAAGACTCTTGTTGTGCTCTCTGGTAGAAATGTTTTGCCTTTGGGAACTAAGACCTTTAAACCTGTGGTTACACTTGTGAGGATGAAAAGCATAAATTCCTCAAGTGGGTCACTCGGATTGATGGTACATAGGGACGCTCCTGCTTCCATACCTTTGATTCCACTCCCAGTTATTCTCCTATGAGGGATACAGCATCATATAATTGTGATTGATATAGAGCATGACTGTTTCTGGAAGGTAGCACTTTATCCTCACAGGGTATCATCTCCAAGATGGTAGTTTAACCAAGCTTTCTGGTGGTATGCCATGTGATAGGTCCAATGGTGTCTATGGTCATATGCCCACTGCTACATTTACTTTGCTATGTAGTGGGTTCCTTGGTCAGATGCAGCAATATGTGCGATGCCATAAAGGTGGATCAAATACAGTATAATCCCTTGGATAGTCATGTTGGCTGAGACTCAGCAGACAGGAAAGACAATCTATAGAATATGTGTCTATTTATGTTAAAGTGAATGACTACTTCATCCAGGGAGAAGGAGTCCGATATGGTCGCCTTTTCACCAAGTGGCTGTTTGGTGTCTTCAAGACATAGTGCAGTAATGAGTCTCAGCAATAGTTCCTGTTACTGGCAGGTTGATCACTTGGCTTTGGGATTAACCTTAGTGAGTGGGAGTTCATGCTGGTGGGCCCAAGAATAGCCTTCCTCCTTGTTACCATGTCTTCTCTATTCATGAATCTATTGTGCCAGTACTGGGGTGGCTGATGGAAAAGCTGGCTGGTGCCAACTGGTTAAGTCATTCTACTTGGGTGTTTAATGCCTCTTCAATGGTAGGTGCTCTCAGAACCTGTGAAGGAAAGGGACGGAAGCAAGACTGGGCAGAAAGAGAAAATGGGCTTCAGTACTTCACAGCCAGGCCTCAGCCAACCCTGTGGGAAGTTCGAAGCTGGGATGATTCTTTGGAATCTTCCCTTGTTGAGGTGAGAGAGTCAGATCTTAACAATCCCTCATTGACCAGTCATTTGTTGCAGGCTGCTCCTAGAAGTGGCATGACCTTGGGTAATGTAGCATTCTTTAGTTAAGAAAATGACTAAAGAGGTTTGTCAGTGCACAGCCTTCCCAGAAGCTAAGAAAGTTGTTCAGTCTTAAAGGAGACATAGGTTGGTATAACACAGACTTCACGAAAGAGACCATTACTATTTTTTTTTTAAGTACACTTCACTCCCAACATGGAGCTCAGTGCAAGGCTTGAACTCATGACCCTGAGATCAAGACCTGAGTTGAGATGAGTCAGATGCTTAACCGACAGCCACTCAGGCACCCTGAGACCATTATTATTTTTTTTTCACCATTATATACCCAAGTTTAATTAGTGTTTAGCACATAGTAGAAATTCAAAAGATCTTTTTGAATAAATAAATTACTGAAATGTCCTGCTTTCTTAGTTCGGAGTATAAAGGTCACATCTCACTCCACTCTCCAACATTTTACTATGAGAATTTCAAAATTTAAAGGAGAATGCAAAAAGGACACCTGGGTGGCTTAGTTGGTTGAGCATCCTGCTCTTGATTTTGACTCATGTCATGATCCCAGAGTTGTGGGATCAAGCCCGTTATCTGCATGGAGCCTGCTTAAGATTCTCCCTCTCTCCCTCTGCCTCTCCCCTGCCATGCCCTCCCCTTTTTCTCTCTAAAATAAATAAAAATAAAAAAAAAATAAAATAAAGGAGAGTACAAAAAACATTTCTTAGATATAACATTTTGTCATATTTGCTCTTTTTTCATGGATAAGTATGTGTATAGTATTGGGTTTTTTAATTTGTTTTTGTTTTGTTTTGTTTTTGCTGAGCCTCATAACACTTTGTCCTTAAATACCCTGGTATGTATCTCCTAACAATAAGGACATTCTCAATACTACTATGATCATGTCTGAAAAACAACAGAAAAAAATAAAAAATCACTTAAATTCTAATATTCACCCATATTAAATTTCTATGCTTCTCCATGAAATATCTTTTATAGCTTTAAAAAATTTTTCAACTACGATTCCACCCAAGGTTCATATATTACATTTGAACATCATTTTTCTTTAATATATTTTAAACTGGGAACAGTCTCCCTTTTTCCCCCCATAGACTTAACTTTTTGAAGAGACCAAGACTAGGAGCGTTCTTATACCCCATTCTGGATTTGTCTGTTCCCTCATAGTGTCATTTGGTTTATTCCAGGTAACATCATCTTCAATATTCCAAACCGATGAGAATATTTTTACTATCCCCCTCAGCACTGTGGTGTCATTCCAAGAAGTCACCAGGATACATTCTAATATCCAGAGGATCAATTCTGCTTCACAGTGAATTGCATCCAAAATTCTAGCTCCCTGGAAGACAAAAGACCTCATAACTCCTGTCAGAAGCCGGTGGCTTCCTAAATGAACCATGTTGCTCCTGATGGTGTTACCATTGCTAACAATAAAAGTGTATTACTTTTATGCGGAAGGTGATCTTATGTAGGAGTGACATAGCACTCACGAGAGGTGCTGTGCTTGGAATGGTCTCATGCTGGTCTAGGGGCAGAGTGGGCTTATCTCTTGATGCCATCTGTTCAGCATAGCATCTGCCTGAATGCAGAGGAAGAAATCAATCAGCACAGTACTTTACTACTTTCCTTCATTTAGCCAGGACCAAGATACTTGTTAGTTTATTTATGTGTTCTTGGGGGTGATAGGAAAAAGAAATTAGAACAAAAATTATTTTCCCATTCTCAATTGCCACTTCTCTCAATCTTCCCTCCTCCCTGTTTATGCTATGTTTATTTATCCCAGCTATAAGAACAGAAATTATCCCAAAGTAGTTGGCTCAATAATGATTGAGGTTGTAAAACTCATTTTGATTGATTATGTTTACCTGCTTGGTTATCTAACTGAAAATCAAGGTGGAATCTCTCTCTAGGTAGATTCTGTATTTTATTACATTTGTAAAATCCTAAGACACTTATGCAATCCTCAGTTCTCAAAAATGATTATATTGTTTTTGCAGGTATCAGAAAAGATATCTGTGTATTAAGACTTTGTATTACATTAAATAGGTAAGCAATCTTATAGAGTGATCTAAATGTTTCCATTACAAGAGTTGGTGGTTCTCCAGATTATTTCTCTCCATCTTGACCGGCTACAAGAAAAGAAAAGGTGGATACAATCTGGGTGCTCCTAGCTATTTTTATTCTCTCAGAAGAACTAATATTCAAGTCTCTGAGGAAGTAACTGAAATCTCTTAATTTTGCTCATCCAATATCAAGAACATTCCAGTGGCCTGTGGAAAGCAAATGTTGCCTAAGGGGCCTTTGGAAGATTTTCTTGGCAAAGAATATTATGTAAGAGGTGGACTCCATCAGGCATTAGCTAGCCCAGCCGAAGGAAGTGGCACTGAATTGGCTGACCCACACCTGGCCAAATTACAGCTCACAGATGAGCACAGTGGAGGAAAAGGGAGCAAACAAAAGATAGTGTTCTCCTAATTTTCCATTTACCAAGAGATTCCTTTTAAAATGAAATTCTGAAGCCCCCAAGAGTGATTAGAACTGTTCTCCTGTGTCCCATGTTCTTGACAGATACTTTTTACCCGCATAGTCATGTGTTAGCATGAACATGAAGAGGAGTCCTCACTCAGTCCTAGAGGTAGAGCCCCGTTTCTACCTTACAGTAGCACTTGTAAATGGAGTTATTTTGCCCAGGAGAAAAAGTTTAGAGTGCTCTAAAATAATCTTGTTTGGAATAAGTCATTTTGCTATTTTTAGGTAAAAATTATAGAGAACTTTTGAAACTGGAAAAAAAAAGTTAAAAGATCACCTAGCACTAGTCCACAGGCCAGTGTTAGGTGAAGAGCCTGTGTTTTGTCTGAGGGAAGGTTACTCAATCCAGTGAATAATACTAACACATGTGTCAGTCATGCAAGTACATCATTGTTAACCTAATTAGGTTTCCTTTGTCCCAGAGGTAAATGAGGTCACCAAGTCCAACCATATAGTGTTATTTGGAAATGATTCTATCTCCTGGAAGGTCTTTCCCGCCCTTCCATATATTACTTGTCCTCCAGATTCACTTTCTCCGGAAGTTTTTTCCTAACCTTCCAATTGCGGTCCTTGCTTTGTGCTCACTTGGCACCCTGTATCATGATACTTTTCACCCCGTGCTGGAATAATGAAACAAGCTACATATTCCTTGAGATCAGCAACCATGTCTTATCAAACGTTTATCCTCCAAGATGTTCCAAGTATGACATCTGGCACATGATAAGCAGTGAGTGCTCAGGAAATAGTTGAGGACTCAAAACCCAAAACATTTTTTTTCTCAAACAAATGTTTTCCGGAAACCCTTTTGGTTAGATCATAACCTAAAGAAATTGACTTTTTTTTTTTTTTTAAACAGAGTAGGCTCAAAGAATTTTTAGTAAATTCAGTGAGCTGCTACAATTTTGGTTGAGCCAGTTCATTTAGTGGATACTGAGGGTCAACCACATAGACCTCCATTCAGTGGATATTGAGGGCACTGTAGTAAGCCCAGCTGTCTCATTTCAAAGACTTCACAATCTAGAGAAGATAGTGATGGACAATTTACCTCTTACAGGAAATGTACAGTACATTTCTGGGAAGTCTGAGATTTATTTATCAGAATATGTGGTTGCCAGGAAATTAGGAAAGAAGTTACATCAGACACTGAATGAATTTCAATTGCTGGAGCTGTTGAATCAGGGAGGAGGATGCAGAGAAGGAAGACAAGAGTGGGTGATATTTGACATGGATTCTAAAAGATATGAGTAGGAGATTGTACCTTGGGGGTGTTGTTAAAGATAACCAGAGCCCCACAGTAGTTAAAGCAGTAAAAGCAGATTTTATTCAGGAACTATTGCAATAGAAGAGAGGCCTCAGTCTAGAACTAGGCTTAATTGCACTGTTGCAATAGTTTGTGAATAAAATCTGGTTTAATGTTTTAAGTACTGTCTGACTGGTTTTCTGTAAGTGGGAAAGAAGGTAGTGATTCAGGGCATTTCAGATAGAGGCAAGATAATGAACGAATGCAAACGCGAGAAAAACAACTTAGGGAACAAGTAATCCAAAGAAAGCTGAGTAGTCAAGGAAAACAGGAAATCTCTAGCCAGAGCCTAGAATACTGTTGAGGAAGCGTTGGAAGATGTGGAAAAGCAGCCTTCTTCTAGTAGATTAACTGAATTGTTTGGGGGATACTTAGAAAATCTTTTTCTGTTTATTCAGGAAAGCTCAAGTGGAAAAGGTAAGTTTGAACAAGATTGCCTAGAAAGTTATGCCAAGACGTTTGGACTTTATCCTGTGGAGCGAACTGGAGTTTTCAAAGGGCTCTGCAATACTTTATGAAGAGGATTGTGGTCTCAACAGATGACAGGCTAGAGCAGCATGAAGCTCTCCCGGCCTCAGTTTACTCATTTATAATAAGAAGAGGGTTGTGTCATTTGCTGTCTTAGGTCCTTCCCAATCCTGACAGCCTGCTTCATCTGCCTTCCTTTCATCATCTAGGCCCCGCGCCTCACTTCTCCCTTCTGATCGTGGTCCAGTTGCCCTGCGCAGGTGCTCTTCGACCGGTAGGTCAGTGCGCAGGGGCGGGGAGGACGTCTCTGGAGTATCAGGACTAACTCCTCCGACCTTTGTCCCGGGGAGCACCACCGGGGTAGTGCCTAGAGGAGGCAGGGCGCGCTACGGGGCAGGAAAAGGGAGTTTCGCGTCGCTTTTCCCTCCTAGGTCCCTCAGGGTGGCTGGCTAGCGGTCCCCACAGCCAAGCCCCCGGGCTCCCTGAAACAAAAGCCTGCGAGTCGCGGCAGTCGCCACGCTCCACCACGACTCTCCGCAGAGCCTGGGGGCAGGACTCGGATGGCCAATCCGCTTCCAGAGAAGCCCCAGGCCCCCCGGCATAGAGCCCAACAACACCACCGCCAGGCTGGCGGGTCAGCCCAGCGCGCCCAGCGTCGGCGTCACGTGAGGCTGCCCGGCCACGTGACCCGGCGGCCCGGCCCCTGGCGCCCTCCTACCCCACCCCCTCACTCCGCTCCTCCCCTTCGCCGGCCGTCCGCACCGCTGCTGGTTGGCGATTCTCCCGGCCGCGGAGCCTCTGAGGTCCCTGCGGCAGGGCGCGGCTGGACGGCGCGAGGCTGCAGCTGGCTTCCCAGGTAGCCGGTGGGGCGCGGGCCTGCGCTCGCGGGCGGCGCTTCCGGCCCTGCCCTTCTCCTTGCTCGCTTTCCCCCCGGGCCGCTGAGCCCCCGTTCTCCTGCCCCCTCCCTCCGGCTGCGGGCCTGGGCTTCCCGGCCCCGGGTCCGCGGGGCGCCGCGACCGGGCGAGTGTCGGCGCGGCCGGCGCGGCACAGTTACAGCTCTGCTGGCGTTTCCTCCAGGAGGCAGAGGGTGCAGGAGGCTAGGGAAAGTTTTCCCTGCTCCCTCTCTTTTTTGAGCGGCTAGGACGCGGCTTTGCTCACGGCTGCAGCCTGTTACCGCCCTGGGCGCTGTTTTGCTGAGAAGAGACCTCCCCTCCGACTCTCCTCCTCGTCCTCTCTCGGCCTTTCCCAAGATATTAGCATCTCCTCCTTCTCCGGAGGGCGGTGGTGTCACAAACCGTATTCTGCACCGTTTCCCTTACCCCCACAACACGGCATCCACAAAAGGGCATTCGCTCAGGGACCTTTATCCAGGAGTGCGGCGAGCTGAGTGAAAGATTTCTCTTGTCCTGCCTCGGGGATACTACCTGCTCTGTTTTATGTGAGATGACCATCTGCTCTGTTCCTCTCCCGTTAGGGCTTTTTGTGAATGTTTGCCTGCGAGACGTTCCGACGCCCTCTTTGCAGCTGGGAATTACAGTTTTTAAAACAATATTGTAATGTTGCTTAAAAAGAAAGATTCAGAGTCTTATTTGACTTTGGCCTATTCCCTTTGGGGGGAGGGGATTATAGTTCTTGGAGGCAAAACCTGCGAGTTTCTGATACGGTTGTGCATTGTGGGATAGTAACATCAAAACACCAAAGTATACATCATGCAAAAAAGAATGAAAAAATGAGCTAACCGTGAGGGAGGTTTCTGATGTGCTTTAAACTTAAGAAATAACCATTTGAAGTGAGCACTGGGTGAATTTCACCGCTTTGAAGTGCTTTCAGGGTTGAGTAGGTAACTGTGTATTTCCATTCTATTAATATAGAACTTAATCCGTCGCATGGAAATTTTTTAATCCATTGTGTGGAGACCGTCTATTTATTAACTACTTCTAGACAGGTCCTATTTCTTCTTCATTCTAGAAGAAGAAGAAGGGTATTAATCATTAAGGAGGTTTCTTCTGCAGTGGTTTTTATGTGTGTTATCGAAATGATGAAGTTCTGGGAACTTCAGAAAGCAAATAGCTTTAAAAACCTATCAAGTTTGCAGCTTAAAAAAAATCTTTAAAAGCTTTTAAAATAAAGATTGCTTATGTGTTCCAGCAAGAGCTTGGTTTCATCTTAATAATCAGCAGCTGAGGGCACCAGGTGGCTCAGTCGGTTAGGCATTCGACTTTAGCTCAAGTCCTGATATCACAGTTAGTGGGTTCCAGCCTGCTGTCTGGCTCTGTGCTGACAGCTCAGAGCCTGGAGCTTGCTTTGGGTTC